TGAGCGGTTAGAACAAGAACGCCTGGCAAGAGAAGAGGCCGAACGTCTCGAGCAAGAGCGCCTTGCGAAAGAAGAAGCTGAACGCCTAGAGCAGGAGCGTCTTGCAAGGGAAGAGGCTGAACGTATAGAACAAGAACGCCTTGCGAAGGAAGAAGCCGAGCGTTTGGAGCAGGAACGCCTCGCCAAAGAAGAGGCTGAACGCTTGGAGGCGGAGCGTTTGGAGCAAGAGCGACTTGCGAAAGAGGAGGCCGAACGTCAAGAGCAAGAGCGTCTAGAAGCAGAACGCCTCGAACAGGAAAGACTTGCCAAAGAGGAGGCAGAACGTTTAGAACAAGAACGGCTCGCCAGAGAAGAGGCAGAACGTTTAGAGCAAGAACGCCTTGCACGGGAAGAGGCCGAGAGACTGGAGCAAGAACGTCTGGCGAAGGAAGAAGCTGAACGTCTTGAGCAGGAGCGTCTTGCCAGGGAGGAAGCTGAACGCCTGGAGCAAGAACGTCTCGCGAAAGAAGAAGCCGAACGCTTAGAACAGGAGCGCCTTGCCAAGGAAGAGGCTGAACGTCTAGAGCAAGAACGTTTGGCGGCTGAAGCGGCTGAAAAGGCGCGATTGGAGGCTGAGGAACTCGAACGCCAGCGACTCGCCCAGGAGCAGGCAGAACGGGAGGCCAGGGAAGCTGAAGAGGCAGAGAAAGCCCGCCTTGAAGCTGAACGATTGGAACAAGAACGCCTTGCTAAAGAACAAGCTGAACGCGAAGCTAGAGAGGCGGAAGAAAAGGCTCGATTGGAGGCAGAGGAACTCGAACGTCAGCGCATTGCTGCAGAGGAAGCTGAGAAAGCTCGCCTTGAAGCTGAAAGACTGGAGCAGGAACGACTTGCTCAAGAGAAAGCAGAGCAAGAGGCCAGAGAAGCTGAAGAGAAAGCTCGCCTAGAAGCAGAGGAAGCCGAACGTCAACGCATTGCCGCAGAGGAGGCAGAAAAGGCTCGTCTCGAGGCAGAACGTTTAGAGCAAGAACGCCTTGAACAAGAACGGCTCGCTCAAGAAGCAGCTGAGAAGGCACGTCTCGAGGCTGAGGAGTTGGAGCGTCAACGCCTTGCCCAAGAGCAAGCTGAGCGTGAAGCTAGGGAAGCCGAGGAGGCAGAACGTGCTCGCCTTGAAGCCGAACGATTGGAACAAGAACGCATCGCCAAGGAAGAAGCTGAGCGTCTTGCTAGAGAGGCCGAGGAAAAGGCACGTTTAGAGGCTGAAGAGGCAGAACGTCAACGTATAGCTGCTGAAGAAGCCGAGAAAGCTCGTCTCGAAGCTGAACGTCTAGAGCAAGAACGGTTGGAGGCTGAACGCCTCGAGAGAGAACGACTTGAGCAAGAAGCAGCCGAGAAAGCGAGACTTGAAGCCGAAGAATTGGAGCGCCAACGTCTGGCTCAGGAGCAAGCAGAGCGTGAAGCCAAGGAGGCTGAAGAGGCAGAGAAGGCTCGACTTGAAGCGGAGAGACTCGAAGAAGAACGCGTTGCAAAGGAGAAGGCCGAACGTGAAGTCGCTGAAGCCGCAGAGGCAGCTCGTTTGGAAGCAGAGGAAGCTGAGCGCCAACGTCTTGCTGCAGAAGAGGCCGAAAAGGCTCGAGCTGAAGCTGAACGACTTGAGCAAGAACGCCTCGAACAGGAGCGTTTGGAGCAAGAGGCAGCTGAGAAGGCGCGCATTGAAGCTGAAGAGTTGGAACGCCAACGACTTGCTCAGGAACAAGCGGAACGTGAGGCCAAGGAAGCCGAAGAAGCGGAACAGGCTCGTCTGGAGGCCGAAAGATTGGAGGGAGAGCGGATCGCAAAGGAGAAAGCTGAGCAGGAGGCAAAGGAGGCAGAAGAGGCAGCCCGTTTGGAAGCTGAAGAACAAGAGCGCCAGAGGATTGCTGCTGAAGAAGCCGAAAAGGCTCGACTTGAAGCTGAACGACTGGAGCAAGAGCGCCTTGCACAGGAGGAGGCCGCAAAAAATGCCGCTCCCGTGACTGAGGATGATGGTTCCGCTCCTAAACATTCAGATGAGCCTCATATTGCTGCACCTATTGTGGCCAAGTCCGATGAAGCGGAGCTGGCAGCAGAGCCTGTCCACAACGGATCCGCCGATGCCACTAAACACGAAGACCATGAACCCCATGCAAATGATAAGCCAAAGCACGAATATGTCAAAGCCGACGAGTGATCAAATCACCAGTAACAATGGTTCCTTGTTTGGTATGTTGGCGCCGTTCAGAATGTCAAAGACGGCTCACATGACAATATGACAGACTATCAAACAAAGACCTACCCGTTCAAGATTTTCCTTAATTTCCCTACTCCGTCTTGTGCCATATAGGTTCCCTTTTCTTGAAGACGACTTATGCAACTCCCCTTCACCCTGTAATTCTCTCGCTTGCACTTTGTCCAACACCGTGCATTGTTTTGTGTCTCACGTGTTCACTGGAATAACTTTACATGTTTTTTGTCAACCCA